GGGGGGGGCCGCGGGCCCCCCCGAGGTGCAGCTGTCTCTCTCTCTCCCTGCCTCCCTTTCCCTCTAGGAAAGTCCATGCTGCTGTCGGCCATCGGGAAGCGGGAGGTCCCAATCCCCGAGCACATTGATATCTACCACTTGACCCGTGAGATGCCCCCCAGCGAGAAAACACCCCTCCAGTGCGTGATGGAGGTCGACACCGAGAGGGCCATGCTAGAGCGGGAAGCCGAGCGGCTGGCTCACGAGGACGGTAACGTCTCGCCCGCCGGGGCCCCAGAGCTTCCGGGGGAGGCCGGGGGCTGCGCCGTGGCTCTCGGCTCAGGCTCCTTCCTTTCTTGCCCCCCCAGCGGAATGTGAGAAGTTGATGGAGCTGTACGAGCGCCTCGAGGAGCTGGATGCAGACAAGGCTGAGGCGCGAGCCTCACGGATCCTCCACGGCCTGGGCTTCACGCCCATCATGCAGAGGAAGAGCTTGAAGGACTTCAGCGGCGGGTGGCGGATGCGGGTGGCGCTCGCCAGGTGGGTGTGCTGGCCAAGGCCCTTCCTGGAAGCCCAGCCAGCCTTCCATTTTTTCAGGCCCTCGGCTGGTGTGGCGGGTGCTTTTGTGATCCTGCTTTCCTTACAGGGCACTTTTCATCCGTCCCTTTATGCTGCTGCTGGACGAGCCCACGAACCACCTTGATTTGGATGCTTGCGTGTGGTTGGAGGAGGAGCTAAAAACGTGAGTGTGGGATCTGCCTTGGGATGGCGGGTTCCTCTCCTGCCACCCGCACTTTGGCAGGGGAGAACTTCTGCAGTCTCTCTGGGCTTTCTGTTGCAGGTTCAAGCGCATCCTCGTGTTGATCTCGCATTCCCAGGACTTCTTGAATGGAGTCTGCACCAACATTATCCACCTGCACAACCGCAAGCTCAAGTACTACACGGTGAGCAGGCAGCTGGGCGTAGCCTGGGTGGGTGGTTCCTGATCCCAGGCAGCATCCTTTGAAGCCCACTGCTGAACAGGTGGGTGGCTGCTTTTGTTGGGGGCCTCTGGCAGGCCCCGTGATTTGACTCGTTGCATCTGCAACACATCTTTCCACAGGGCAACTACGATCAGTATGTCAAGACCCGTCTAGAATTAGAGGAGAACCAGATGAAACGGTTCCATTGGGAGCAGGATCAGATTGCCCACATGAAGGTAACCGGCCTGCATCTTCCAGGTTGCAGGTCTTTGGTGAGGGTGGGTCCTCTGGATGGGTCGTGCTCAGCATGTTCTTTCTGCCACCAAAAGAGACTCTGAACTATTGCAGAACTACATTGCCCGCTTTGGTCATGGCAGCGCCAAGTTAGCCCGCCAGGCTCAGAGCAAAGAGAAGACTCTCCAAAAGATGATGGCCTCCGGACTGACTGAACGGGTGATCAACGATAAGGTGGGTTACCTTGCTGGGCGAGCAAGCAGGAGCACTCTGGTGCACCAGGACAGAGTTGTGAGCTGGCCAGTCTTGGGTGTGAAAGGAAAAGTGTATGAAAGGGCTGTGCTCCTATATTCCCAGACGCTGTCTTTCTACTTCCCATCCTGTGGAAAGATCCCACCACCTGTTATCATGGTGCAGAATGTGAGCTTCCGCTACAGCAAAGATGGGGTAAGTAGGTGGAACGGAGGAGGAGGAGGTTGAAGTCCTGGGTTTCAAGCTCCTGTTGTGCTTTTCTGTGGCCTTCAGCACTGGATCTACAACAACCTGGAGTTCGGCATTGACCTGGACACGCGTGTGGCTCTTGTGGGACCCAATGGGGCAGGAAAATCAACACTGCTCAAGCTCCTTACTGGAGAGGTAATCTCCCCCCACCCTCTGCCATGTTTGTGGTGAGTGGGCAGGAAAGGCTGAGTCCCTTGGAAATGGGTCTTCCATTCTGCAGTTTTCCAGCTGTCTCAGCCTCGTCTCCTTTTCAGCTGCTCCCTACTGATGGCATGATCCGGAAGCACTCGCATGTCAAGATTGGCCGGTACCACCAGGTGGAGTTGAGGGCACTTCCAGGAGGCATTTCTGGGCTTTAGCTGCTAGTGGACATGGCTGCTCTGGGTGTTGGCCTTGTTCCTGATGGTCACATGGTGACCACATCTCATGCTGACACCCCAAGAGCTACGGGGAAGGGCTTTTCAGAGGTGGGAACAAGGAGAAAGTCTAATGGGGTTCCCTCTCCTCCGGCACTTCAGCACCTGCAAGAGCAACTGGATCTGGACCTTTCTCCCCTTGAATACATGCTGAAGTGCTACCCCGAGATCAAGGAGAAGGAGGAGATGCGCAAGATCATTGGCCGCTATGGGCTGACTGGGAAGCAGCAGGTTGGTCTGGTCTGCCTGGGGACCAGGTGGAGAAGGCAGAGTGCAACTCTGCATGGGAGGAGAAGCAACTCCCATGGGTACCAGGCAGGGTTTCCCTGTGTGGGAGCCTGGTGAGGCTCTTCCTGCTACACTTTGCCTGCTCCACCCAGAGGGAGGGTGCCGAGCAGGCCAGGACATCCACAAAGCTCCCAGGCTCAGGTAAAAAGAAGAGAGCTCTCTTCCTGGTCTTGCCCCATAAGCCCAAGCAGGCTCCTTTGTATGGCAGACCAGCATCCCAAACCCAGTGGCAGATCTCTCCCTCTTATGGAGAACTTAGGGAGGGAGTAGTTTCCAGAGGGGAAGGAGCTGGGGGCAGAAGCAGCCAGGTTAGTCTCTTGCAGCAAATAGAACAAAGAGTTTGGTTTTACCAATTTAAGAGAGCTGAAGTTTCTGTGAATCACAGTCCGCTTTATCAGCGGTTTAGAGTATAGGCCCAAGAGGGGCCTAACCTTTTCAGCTGTCTACAAGGCTGTTTCCTCCAGCTTTGGAAGTGACCAGTTCACAGCAAAGCTTCTCCAGCAAATCCAGGCTTCCCTTTGGACAAAACTCCAGCCTCTCCTGCTTCGATCTTGGAACCAAGATTCTCCCAAAGCAGATGGACACTCCTGCTGCTTCTCTTCCTTCCTAAGGGCCACTGGGCAGCCATTCTTCTTGTAAAGGAAGCTCAGAGGGATAGAGGGGGGAGCGGTGTTGGTGATTTGGGGAACACAGACCCAGCATTCATCGGGGCTAGTTTTGGTTTTCTCTGACTGGCAGCAGTGGGTCTCCAGCAAAGAAGCTGGAGATGGTGGTGCTGAACTTAGGAAGGCCCGTGGATCCAATGCATGCTCTTTGCTTACTGGGCTGACTGGATCCTTCTCAAGCAGACAGGATAGCAACCTTCCACCCACTCCACTGCAGCAGTCTTGGAGCTGGGAAGGTCAGGCATGGGTTAGACAGGCATTTGTCTGCCTGGCAGGTGAGCCCCATCCGGAATCTCTCAGATGGACAGAAGTGTCGTGTGTGCTTTGCGTGGCTAGCTTGGCAGAACCCCCACATGCTCTTCTTGGATGAGCCCACCAACCACTTGGACATTGAAACTATTGATGCTCTAGCTGATGCCATCAACGACTTTGAAGGCGGCATGATGCTTGTCAGCCACGATTTCCGTCTCATCCAGCAGGTCAGTCATAGAGAGGTGGTGCGGGCCCTTTGGGGGATCTGTTTAGCCTGGGCCATTCTGTGACATCTCTCCGCAGTGGATCTAAGCCGCCAGCGGGGTAAAATTGGCAAAGTCAGTTCTCGAGTTTCCATGCAAGAGCTACTCCAGGAACTTGTTTAGGCCTTCTGTGTGTTAGTTCACTTTTGGAGGATGCGCAAATAGTCCTGGGAACTGATCCTAGTTGGTTTACGTTGGAGCTTTTCCTTTTCCTTCCCAATCCATGCATCTAGTTCCCAGGAAAAATCTTGGGATAATTGTGGGTGGTTCAGCTAAAGCATTAGGACCATGTGTCGTATGAACACTTAGAATACAGATAGTCCTTTTTTAGCGACTACTTCATTTAGCAACTGTTCACAGTTATGATGGTGGTGAAAAAGTAACTTTATGACCAATCTGTAAAGCAAAGCTAAAGTAAAATCATAAGCACAGTTGCAGTTTCATTTAGCGACCACTTTATCAGGTTCAGCCCAAAGAACTCCCCGAGACAGCGCAGATACAGTTGTGTTGCGTTTATTAGCTTCCACCTCAAGACAGAATCTCTCCAGACTGAATCTAACTTCCCAAGCCAGCAAGCCAAAACACTGTGATTCCTTAGGGTGGTATCAGTCTCATCTTCTTAAACTTCCCACACTCCTGTTGAGGGCTCAGGGAATGCTTATCTCCTTGAGCGCAGCCTTCATCCAACCATTCCTTCACACACTTCGCTTAATGACCAAGTTGGCAGTCCCAATTGTGGATGCTAAACAAGGACTACCTGTAACAGTTCAAGGAGTTGGAATTTTCTGTGAGTAAAGGGAAAGCTTCTGGGGCTTTCCCTTGCAAGGACAAAAGATGATCAAGGGCACAGTGCTATCCTCAAGATCACCTTCAGCTTCCCACTGAAGTCAGATGTCAGAATGTAGAAAGATACCAAGGACTATTTTGGGATAATGCAGTTTAAACATAAAAGCACTGTCTGGTTCACACAGCTAAACCAAATGTGGCTTGCAGATCACAATTCAGTAAGTTGTACAAATCCAATCTTTGTGGGTTCTTCATTGAACCTGGTTTAGGAAAACTTGGCTTAGCTTGGTTGTGAATACTGCTCTGATGCTAGAGGTGGACAAAGAGTTGTATGCTGCCCAGAGTCACCTTGTGTGAGATGGGCAGCAATATAAATATGATTGCGTATTAATTAATTAAATACCACTTGTTTTGATGGATGGAGACCAGGGCCTGTGGCCCTTGAGTTTCTGGCTGTATCTTGCAAGGGAGAGCTTTACCGCCTCCACCTAACAGAGGCCTCCCCTTGTTTTCCCAGGTGGCCCAGGAGATCTGGGTATGTGAGAAGAGGACAATCACCAAGTGGCCTGGCGATATCCTTTCTTATAAGGAACATCTCAAGTCCAAGCTGGTGGATGAGGAACATCAGCTCACCAAGAGAATGCACAATGTTTGAGCAGCACGGGATGGGTCAGCCTGGTCCTTCCCCTCGGACACTGGTGCCAGCCTCCATAAGTGAAAAACAGGCAGGCTCCTTGCTGTGTTCTGGCCTTCCCTCAGCTTCTTCCTGCCTTTGCCATCCAAAGCCTCTCTGCCCCTACAAGCCCTACAGCAGCCCTGCCCTTGTGGGACAACAAGAGCCTGGCTTTCTGCTTCAGATCCACAACTTCACTCCAAACTTCTAGAGCCTTGATTTGTTTTTAATAATTATTTATTAGTGTAATTGCATTCCTGCCTGACAAGTATCAGTCAATAAAGGGGGGGGGGAAGCTTCACAGTTCTGCCTGCTTCTTTTGTGGGGGGAGGGATGGCCAAAGTGGGGCTTTAGAAGTCCAGACATTTTCTGCCATTCAGCTGAAGAGAGTCCGTTGCCCCAGGGACAGGATCTGCAGGGGCATGCGGCTCGTTATTCCCCCTTTCCTCCATTGAAAGAACGTAGGTGTGGAAGGGCTGCAGGGAGGACGGGGGACACGCCGAAGCCCTAATGGGTTAGGCCAAACCCTTTCAATTCTGAAGGTCATTGCCTTTTACCATTCTCTCAGAACTGTATATAACCATGTTATACAAACCTAGTAAATCTTAAAGCATGAGTAGAATATGGCATGTGGAGGGTCTGAATATGTTGCCATGTCCTTACTCAGCACATGGCAAGTAGAGTTAGTTGGGTAGATTGCCTCCTGTTTTCTTCATTCAATGGGGTGAAGAGCCATGGAGAGAGGACCAATTTCCTATCAGCTGTGAAGTCTCCTGATGTGATATTGTGTCTTCCTTTTACCAATTTGTTCTTCCTGAAATAAACTGCCTCCATTCAACAGCAAAAGGCAAAGTTTGTCTCAGGTTGAGCTTACCTTGGTGTCTCTGGACGAGTCCGTGTTTTCTCAGCGCAGTTCAGAAGTGGTTAACTGGGCCTCCCAGAATGTTCTTCATTTTTGCATTTTGGCCTACAGCTATGGAGTGCTCTGGTGGTCTCCCATCCAAAATATTAATCAGCCTGCAAGATCAACCAAGTTAAATTGGTGCTATTGCCCTGATGCAGCCCACAATGCAAGGAGCCAGCAAGAAAAGCACAAGCTAATCAGATGGTTTTGACATCCGTGCTTGCATCTAGCACATGTGATTAAGCCTAAGAACAGCCTTGTTCCTCCAGGCCACAGCCTGCCTTGGTGCGGCCTTTTTCCCCCAGTGGCTAACCTCTGAGATGTTCACAAGCAGGAGACCCTCCCCTCAGGGGCTGCCCTCAGCCCAGAGGGAGCATGGAGTCTTCAAGACCCATTGCTTTGAGAGACCTGTCCTCCGTGAATGTATCCAATCCCTTTTGTAAAGTCATGCCAGTTGGTGGTGGTTGTCATGAGGCAGTAATGAATTCCACAAGCAATTGTGCACTGTGCAAAGACTGCAAAAACAGCTTTATACAGTGGACTTGGGTTAGTTCTTGGCCTGGTGAAACACATTCTAGTTGAGCCTTCACTTTTGTGGCTTTAAATAACCTCCATGTTTATAGTTTGATGAAGAGATTTGGCCCTTTCGTGACAGCCCAAGTTGGCAGTTTCGCCTTTGCACGTACCCTCGTTGTTTTCAACTGTTTCTCTCCCCCTGGATCATAGTTGCCACCATGTAGGGTTGCTTCCCAAGTGGGAGTTCCAAACCAAGACTGGCTGTTCTAAGGCACAGTCATTCAGAGGGTCTTCAGTGTGGCCTGAGCCTGAATGTATATTCATTAGATTTATATTCCACCTTTTTCTGTAGGATTCCTATTTCCGAAAAACAACAATCCTGTGAGGTGGGTTGGGCTGAGAGAGATGGATTGGCTCAACCTAGCTGGTTTCCCTGCCTAAGGGGAGCGGGGACTAGAATTCACTCTCCCAGCATAGTGATGATTGCGTTAATATAGTGGGGGTGGTCACATATTTAGTTACCCCATGATTTACTGAATCAACCTCTTTAACCAACAGATGAGATCATGTAGTTGTCTTGTAAACCAGCTGACTACAATTTAGCTGAACTTGTGAAGAAACAGCCTGGCTGTGGAACTAAGCCATGTGTGAACCCAGTAAATTATGACATACTTAACCACCATAAATAAAGCACAGCTTAGTACAACATGAAACCCAGCAATTGTACATCTCAATATATCAATACTGAAAGAAGAGGGTGGAAGCCTTAAGGAAGGTGTTCCTTGTGGCCAAATGAGGCCTCAGCACAAGAGTCATAATAGAATTGGAGAGTTGGAAGGGACCAGCTGCTAAGCCTTGAATTCCTTATTTTGTATAGGCGCGCCATATTTTTCGTCCCTAAATGTGATTCTTTGATTATGAATCCATCAAGTTAGTATGGACTCTTATGGACCACATGGATTTTCTTCAAGACAACCTGGTTCTTCCAATGACACACCCATTGCTGCTGTAATGAAGTCCATCCACCTTGCTACTGGTCATCCTCTTCTCTTTCCTTCCACCTTTTCCAGCATTGTGGACTTTCTCAGATAGCTAAGTCCTTAATGTTTCCAAAATATGATAATGTGAGGTCATTTGTACCTTGAGTGGATTAATTTGTTCAATGATCCATTTGTTTGTTTTCTTGACTGTCCATGGTATTCTCAGGAGCCTTCTCCGACACCAGTGTTCAAAAGCATCAATATTCTTTCTATACTGCTTTACTGTTGCTTAGATAATCATAAAAGGCAGAAGTTATCCATTACTTCAATATATTCATCATCAGTTCTAAGGCTGGCTGCTGTACCTGTTATCATTAGTTTGGTCTTCTTTACATTTAATCTTTTTCTAATTTTTTTCACTGCACTCTTTGACTTTTCATTACTAAAGCTTCCAAATCATTTGCATTTTGAGCTATCAGAGTCTCAATGTAGCCCAAATTATTGATGTTTCTTCCTCCAATTTTAAAACTCTGCTCATCTTCCAGTCCAACTTTCTTCAATCTGTATTCAGCATATAGGCTGAATAAGTAGAGACCATACAGTGGGGCAAAAAAGTATTTAGTCAACCACCAATTGTGCAAGTTCTCCCACTTAAAAAGATGAGAGAGGCCTGTAATTTTCATCATAGGTATACCTCAACTATGAGAGATGAGAGAGGCCTGTAATTTTCATCATAGGTATACCTCAACTATGAGAGATGAGAGAGGCCTGTAATTTTCATCATAGGTATACCTCAACTATGAGAGATGAGAGAGGCCTGTAATTTTCATCATAGGTATACCTCAACTATGAGAGATGAGAGAGGCCTGTAATTTTCATCATAGGTATACCTCAACTATGAGAGATGAGAGAGGCCTGTAATTTTCATCATAGGTATACCTCAACTATGAGAGATGAGAGAGGCCTGTAATTTTCATCATAGGTATACCTCAACTATGAGAGATGAGAGAGGCCTGTAATTTTCATCATAGGTATACCTCAACTATGAGAGATGAGAGAGGCCTGTAATTTTCATCATAGGTATACCTCAACTATGAGAGATGAGAGAGGCCTGTAATTTTCATCATAGGTATACCTCAACTATGAGAGATGAGAGAGGCCTGTAATTTTCATCATAGGTATACCTCAACTATGAGAGATGAGAGAGGCCTGTAATTTTCATCATAGGTATACCTCAACTATGAGAGATGAGAGAGGCCTGTAATTTTCATCATAGGTATACCTCAACTATGAGATGGGGTGAGATCTTTCATGGAGCCCCAGATCGTCATAGTTGAGGTATACCTATGATGAAAATTACAGGCCTCTCTCATCTTTTTAAGTGGGAGAACTTGCACAATTGGTGGCTGACTAAATACTTTTTTGCCCCACTGTACAGCCTTGTCTCACTCTTTTGCCAATCTGGTGACAGTCTGTTTTGCCATGTTCTGTCTGGACTAAAGGTAGTCCTCATTTAGTGACCACAATTGGGACCAACAACTCTGTTGCTAAGTGCCGTGGTCGCAAAGCAGAAAATCACGAGATCACTATGGGCTTATGACCTCACTTCCCCTTTGGTTGTTAAGTGAACCATCACATGACCCTGGCTTACGATTTACTTCCGCCTTCTCTATTAACTCTGCTTGTTGCAAGTCAGTTGTGCAGCACATAAACAGCTTCCTGGCCTGTATACAGGTAGTCCTTGCTTAGTGACCAAAGTTACAACCACTGAAAAAAATGACAACCGGTCCTCACAGTTACGACTGTCACAGCATCCCATGGTCACATTTGTAACCTTCCCAGTTGGCTTCTGATAAGCAAAATCAATGGGGAAGCTGGCAGGAGGTTGCAAGTCACAGTCACATGATGTCTTGCTTAACAACTGCAGATGATTCGCTTAATGACTGCAACCATAACTTCTGTTGGTAGGTGGGGCGGTCACAGGATGTTTCACTTAATGACCACTTCACTTAGCGATGGAGTTGCCACTCCAGTTATGGTTGTTAACCAAGGACTACCTGTGTAAGTTTCTCATGAGGACAATGAGTTGTTCTGGGGTCCCCATTTTTCTAAGTACAGTGGTACCTCTACTTACGAACTCCCCTACTTACGAGCCATTTTCCTCCTGTTCCACGTGGTCCGCGGCCCTTTTCCCCCCCGGGCCACGTGGTCCGCAGCCATTTTCCACCCGTGCCACGTGGTC